CACAAATATTAATATGTATTAATTTCAAGATATTAAATTTCTTTTCGCATATATTTTTTTAATATTTAATTATTTTTTCTTAATATATTCAATACAAATTTTAAAATTAATATAATTAAGGAAATTAATAATTTCATCTGACACAAGCATTTGAAATCTTTATTTAAAATTATGTCATAAATGCTTGTGACATAACATAAAAAAATTCTCATCAATTAGTTTTCTCTTTATATCATAATTATTTATATGTAAGGTTTCATTTATCTGTGAGACATATATATCTAATTTATATAGATTATCAATAAAAGAACTTGTAATAATGATATTTGAATACTAAAAAAGATTAAATTTCTATTTTCAAATAAGAAAGGGTAACCATATTTGTCCAAAAAAGAAATACAAATTAGATTATGTTTAAATGATGGTATATAAAAAGTCTCACATAAATCTAAAGTACAATCAGATTTTAAGTTCAATCTATATAAACCATTGCTTTAAGAAATGTTTTGTTATCATTCCCCACAGATAAATCTCTTAGAATCAGTTGGCACTTGGCTTTTTAGACAATCCTGTATAGTCACACTTATGTGAATAGTTGAACATGTATATATCCACTAAGTATGATTTGGTACTAAGAAAAAATTAACTTCAGAATAAGCAAAATTCAAAAGTTTATCCTTTTTCATGAGCTAGTTAGTATATTTTGGACAATACTTCTTCACATGACTAGTCTTCTTGTATAATAAATAAGTAATAACTAGATCTTTCTTATGTTTCACTTTAGGTTGTAAAGTTTATTTATCTGCAACTCCTTTAGCTTTATTATTTCATTTTCCTTTTGATGGTACTATCATGAGAAGAAGAAGCTAAGTGGGTACATTCAATCTTTTATATTTCAATATTTTTTCCTCTTGTACACACTGAGTAATGAGCTCATTAAGAGTTCATTTTTTCTTTTTGAGTATTATAACTTATCTTAAAAGGATTGAATTATTTAGGAAGAGAGATTAAGACTAGATGCACAAAAATATCATCAAACAATTCTAACTTAAATGCTCTTAGACATGTGATAAGATTATATATTTTCATACTGTACTCCCTTATGTTCTCTTTAATTTTATACCTCCATGAAACAAGTTAACTAAAAATAATACTTGTTTTAACCTTTTTAGAGCCTATGAAACAGTCAGCTATTTGGCTTAAGAACTTATTTGCATTTTCATACTCAGACATTGCATCCTTGATGGTATTTGGAATAGAGTGCTAAATAGTTATAAGACTCATGTGGTTTGAACGATCATACTTTTTAAAATTTTCCTTTAGTTCAAAAGTGCATTTCGCAGTAAGTGTAGGAGGGTGTTCAGTTCAAATCGCATAGTTTAAATTCATACATCTAAGAATAATAATAATATGCTCTTTCCGTTTCTTAAAATTAGAGCTATTAAGCATTGAAATGTTAATTAAATTGGCATATATTAAAAAATATTAATTAAAAAAGAACAAAAAAAAAGCTCATAATTAGTAATAATATAAGATGAGCCCTTTATAAGATACATAACACAACATTATAATTTAGTCTTTGGACAAAAATTATAATTTTTAAATGACACTCTTAAAATTATAATTAATAAATATTGATAATAAATTCTGCCAATAATAAGACTTACTGATGATAAAAAAATAAAGAATCAGTACGATTACGATAATGTTGAACTTCATAAATTAATTGTTATCGCTCATTATTCGAGACAAAACAAAATAGATATTGAAAAATTGCTTGCAAATACTTTACACTGAGAAAACTTAATTTTTTTTAAAATGAAAAATGATTCTCAAAAGAAGATTTCTTTTGACTAAAAAGAATCTCAAAGAATCAATGAAATAATTAGAAAGGGTTATTCATTTCTCATTGATCAACTTAACAACCAGGCTCTCATACTACTTGCAGGATAGAATGGAGACGAAAATGAATTTCATCGCTTTTGAATTATATGTCAAATCATTGAGAAAAGATATAAGAAGGGTACTTGAATCCATTGAAAATGAAGAATTGAGATTTCGAGGTTTTCGATCTTTAACGTTTGTAGTGGCGTTCTCTGATAGAGATGGAGAGACTTATTCTTTTAACTCAAGCTGAAAAAAAGAGAGAAATAAGAACTTTAACCTCTGAAACTGGAACAATTATTACGTCCTTTGATCGGACGTAGAGCTACGTTCGGCCGCCAATAACATGTCGCCACGTGCTCTTACTCTTTACTGCGCGGCCCGACAACTTGACCCGGAGCGGAACCCAGGAATGCTATGTTCGCGATTTTCTCGATATTGCTCGGTATTTGCTCGGTATTTGCTAGGTATTGCTTTGAAAAAATGAGAAATACCGCTCTGTGAAGACCAATACCATGCAAATACCGAGTTGTACCGAGTTTTTTTACAACTCGGTACAACTTAGTATTTGCTCAGGATTTGCTCGGTATTGCTAGGGATTTGCTCGGTATTGCTAGGGATTTGCTAGAAAAAACTCGGTACAACTCGGTATTTGCTCGGTATTGTTAGGTATTTGCTCGGTATTGCTTGGTATTGGTTATTGCCGAGCAAAATCTGTTAGAATATACCCTTAGTATTTGTTACTTATCCTATTCCATCTAATGTCAACATAAGTAGTGTTGCACTTTCTCTGCCATTTACTGGGCCCTGCCAATGGAGCAGCTCTTTAGCCACTATCTGAGAGAATGTTCCCTGTAAAGGCTCACCAGCTTTCCTTAAAGCTTGGGCAAGAGTAGAGCAATACAAGGGTTTTGATTTCCTTCAACTATGCTTCTTCCAGTTATGGTTTTCGGTTTTTAGTTTTCTTGCAGGTATCTAGAGAGAGCTTAACATGGTATCAGAGCCTTAAGCCGTCTTCTTCAAATGGCTTCAGAAGGATCCTCAGCTTCTACTCCAGCGGGGACTTCATCTCTGTCCGCAGCAATGACAGAGTTCTCAATCCCTTCTTCTCTCAAATTTCTTATGAGTAACTTGAAGCACATTGTGCCCACTTCACTTACAAACGAGAACTACCCGATTTGGCATCTTTAAGTCTTCAAGCTATTCTCGGCAAATGGATTCAAAGATTTTTTGACCGGAAGCGTTGCTGCTCCGGTTCTTTCTGCTGAAGGTTCAAACGCCGCTGAGCTACGGCTCTGAAAGCAGATTGATCAGAATTTGGTTTCAGCCTTGCTGTCCACTATTTTTATTTATGTTCTTCCATAAGTCATATAAATAGTAGCTCTGTGTTTGTGTGTCTGTTGAGTTGATTAATTTGGAAGATTCAGTTCAGTAACCAAATTCCAAAGCCAGATCCTGGATAAAAAGGTTTTGTCGCGGCCCGGTGCGAGCGGGATCCGTCCCGGATCGGGTTGGGTCGTGACAATTTCTCTGTCTACGACTCATGATATCTGGGTCACGTTAGAGAACCGACTTCAACCTACAAATCGTTCCCGTGTAATTCAACTAAAGAATGAATTACACCATGTTGAAATGAAAGATCTCACAATGACACAATACCTTGCTCATGTTAAATCTCTTGTGGACAATATATCATCATCGGGCGGTCATATAGATGTTGAGGATGTTATCCTGCACACACTGAATGGATTGCCATCTATTTATAATCCGTTCAAATCAGGTATTCGGATTATTCAGCAATTAATCACTCTAGATGCCCTGTATTCACTCTTGTGCAGTGAAGAGATTAATTTGCAAAACGAGCAGAAAAAGGAAGCTCCGCCTCCTTCAGATCATACAGCAATGTGGACAAATCGTTTCAACTCATCTCGCGGAAGATTTACTTCAAGAGGACGCAGAAGAGGAGCTCCCTTCAGGACAAATTCGTCCGGACCAAATGCTACGTATATACCAAACTACAATAGCAATCAGTCACCTCCTCTGCCTGTTCCGGCTTCTAATCGCCCAACCAATCGACCAATACCTAGCAATACCTAGCAATCTTGGGTCCGTTCCGGGTCGGGTTGTCGGGGCACGCTGTAAATGATGAAAATGCGTGGCGCGATTCTACTGGCGGCCGAACGTAGAGTTGCATACGTTCACCGGACCAAATAAAAGTTCCTGAAACTGGGGACCACAATCTTTATATGCTTTAAATATATTTATTTTATTTGAACCTATCATTAAAATAAAAGTAAAAAATCTGTCTCAAACAAAACCTATAACATAAAACTGCAGCTTTATTAAAAACAAACAGCACAAATGACAATATACTTCGTGCTAAGAAACAAGCTCGATTATCAATACAGCAACTAAAACGTACGTAATTCCTTCAATGCATAAATACTATTTAAAATTCAATATTGGAGAATTTCATATCCGTTCTCAGACGGTCAAAGGGCCATTATTTCTTCAAGGAAGCCGGCGATTAACTCATCTGGTATGTGGACCATAAAATTTATCTCACGACTTAGACAATTTCTTCAGTGGTTGCAGGTTCTCGTAACCAGCCCAATTCATGCAGATGCTGGTTGTTAAAGGACTTCTTTTTCTTTTTCTGCGTTAAAAGTTTATGTATTTATTATTAAAATTAAGGCTTTGTTTCAGACAGTTTTTTTCTACTTTTAAAAGCAATAAGAATCTATTTGAAACAATTATCTAGTTGTTTTATTTTTCAAATAAAAATCATAATTTTATTTAGCTTTTATTTTTAAAAAAATTTTGTGATGTAAAACAACTTTCTTAAATCATAAGCTTTGTTTGTGACAACTTTTATACTACTTTTTAAAGTAAAATTTTAATACTAAAAATTATTGAGCTAATTAATTTTGTATTAAAAAGTTACTTTAAAAAATAGAAAAATAACTGTCAAAAATAAGATCATAATAATAAAAAGATATTTATAATCAATTTTATATAATAAAATTATTTTATAATCAATTTTATACGACGCTACATCATAAGACTTTTTAGGAGATATTCTATACGGCTCAAATACTGATAATTCAAGATAGCAGAAGCTTTACTAACTTTAGCGAAGTTTAATATCTAATTGAACTAGCGGTGGATCGGCGCAGAAGTCCACACAGTCGGATGAGCGGTCGGACGATAAGGGCCAGAGAGTGTGAGGACTAGAATGGTAGAATCGAGGAGCTTCTCGATTCTCCATCCTTCTCAGCTTCTTAGACATTTTTAGAGAGAGAGGGAGAGAGAAAGAGAGAGGAATTACTGTTCTTTCATTCTTTGTTTCATTCATTTAAGGCGGTTTTGGGATTTCTTCCATCTTACGTTCTTTGAGTTTCACTGCTTCTGTGTTTTCTTGTCGGGAAGGCTAGGATTTGCTATGATTTCGTCATGATCTACTTTTCGTTGCGGCTAGAGTGATTCTTTTTAACTGTTTCAGCTGGGTAGGAAGTGATTCTGGATAAACCCATTTTGTATTATTGGTGTAAGGTTCTTGAAACTTCATTGAAATCTGTGAATTCTGTTGAAACTTGCTTAGTTCTGTTGAAAGAAGGTGAAATTTGGAACTCGTTTATGAAAATTAATCTTGTGAGTGGTTGGGAGGTTTGCATAGTCTCTTTATTCAGGTTTGAAGAAATGTAGTTTTTTGGATCGTGGAGACTATTTGGATTGAATATTGTATTGTGATTTAGTTTGTTGATGAGCTTTGCAGGGGAATTGGTAGGCAGATTGGAATTGAGAATTTAGAATGTTCTTGTGTCTGAAAATTATTTTGGTGGGCTTGTTTTTGTCCTTTTAAGCTTCTGTTGCGGTGGATTGGAGTTGGCATTTCGGCTACCTTGGTTTTAAGGTAATACTTATCAGCTCTCACTAAGATTTGTTGCTATGGATTTAGCTTTCCTTTATAAGCTACGGACAAGATTGAGTATTTGTTTAAATGCTGCCATCTTCTTCTCAGATTATCGAGGTGGAGACTTATGAGTGTTCTTGTAATTCTTTTCTGTCTGCTTTCTTCCACTGGATTTACCAAGTGATGGGGTGTTTGCATTCCAAAGGATGCATTGGTCATGTGCCAGACTCGCCGAGACAAGAACCCAAAGCAAAAGGTGGAATGAAGGCAACAGTGATTGAATATGCTCATTCTTCAGCTTCTTCAGATGGGGAAGATGGTGGCGATGGAGATCGGCTTCATGAGCTAGGTACTAATAGGGACTCTGATGTGGGGATAAATCGGCTTTCAAGGGTTTCATCACAATTTCTTCCTCCTGAAGGGTCTAAGACAGTCAGAGTTCCTATAGGAAACTATGAGTTGCGGTATTCTTTTCTTTCTCAAAGAGGGTTCTATCCAGATGCATTGGATAAACCAAATCAAGATAGCTTTTGTATTCACACTCCATTTGGTGCAAATCCTGATGATCACTTCTTTGGTGTTTTTGATGGACATGGAGAGAATGGAGCTCAGTGCTCGCAGTTTGTCAAACGGAAATTATGTGAAAATTTGCTCAGGAATAGCCGGCTTCAAGTTGATGTCATTGAAGCAATCCATGCTACTTTCTTGACAACAAATTTACAGCTCCATGCTGATGTGTTGGATGATAGCATGAGTGGTACCACAGCAGTAACAATTTTGGTTCGAGGCAGAACAATTTATGTTGCAAATGCAGGAGATTCTAGGGCGGTCATTGCAGAGAGGAGAGGCAAAGACATTGTGGCCATGGACCTCTCCATTGATCAGACTCCTTTTCGAAGTGATGAGCTTGAGAGAGTTAAGCACTGTGGCGCAAGGGTTCTGACCTTAGATCAGATAGAAGGGCTGAAGAATCCAGATGTAAGGTGTTGGGGAACAGAAGAAGATGATGATGGGGATCCTCCTAGATTATGGGTGCAAAGTGGTATGTATCCTGGCACAGCTTTCACAAGGAGTATTGGAGATTCCATTGCTGAATCTATTGGTGTGGTTGCTTCCCCGGAGATTTATGCCTTGGAGCTCACACACAACCACCCTTTTTTTGTAATTGCTAGCGATGGAGTGTTTGAGTTTCTATCCAGCCAAACTGTAGTTGATATGGTAATTATGATCGAAGGATCTATTTCCAGATATGCATATGGAAACACCTCCATGAAGTTTACTCTTAAACCATAAATGATCTCTTACCATATTTGTCATTGTAAAATTCTTAATACTTACAATTTGAATCTCTTATTTATAAAACAGTTACATGGGTAGATACTTATTTGGTTGATTTGGATATATATACATTGGCACCTCTGATGTTTTCTCAACTTTCAGGTGGCAAAATTTAAGGATCCTCGTGATGCATGCGCTGCAATTGTTGCTGAATCATATCGACTTTGGCTACAATTCGAAACACGTACTGATGACATTACAATCATAGTTGTGCATATTAATGGGCTAAATGAAGTAAGATATTGTTTCTATCATTTATTCAGCTAGTTATTTATTAATACCAACGCACAAGTTGATTTTTCTTTGACAGAGTGATGATTTGATTTCTTGAACAGACCAAAGTTGTTCAAAATATACTTGATGCACCTTCAAACCTTTTGCCTCAAGATGTGGAACAAACAGAGTCTGAACCCCCACTTCCTGTGGCTTGGAATTCCCAAAACCAACGTGTGAGGCACGAGCTGTCTCGGACACGGCTCAAGGAAATTGAGAGTTCCCTAGAGAATGTTCATAGTTGGTTTCCTCCTTCTGTGTCACATAGGAAAACATGGGAAGAAGAAGTAATTATGTATTGCTAACTATATCTAAGCTTTAATCCGTCCTTGCAAGTTTTGATCCACTTTGATAAATAACTATTTGTTTTTCATGTACTTTTTGATATTTTCAGGCACACATTGAGAGAGTAATGCGTGATCATTTTCTTTTTAGAAGGATTACCGAATCCCAATGCCACGTTTTGCTGGACTGTATGCAAAAACTGGAAGTTAAGCCTGGGGATGTGGTTGTTGAACAGGTAGGTCTCATATGATTGAGTTTCATTAAAGGGAAAATTAAACTTGTGAGCGCTTTTAGCGAAGTTGTGCCTTACTAGCTTTCGATTGTGACCAAATAGAAATGACCAATCACGAAATGCAGGGTGAAGAGGGTGACTGCTTTTATGTTGTTACAAATGGCGAGTTTGAAGTCCTTGCTACTCAGGTATATTTCATCATTTCCATCATCATAATTAATTACACCAACTATTTAAAGGAAACTCAATAAATTCTTCTTCTTATTAATTCTTGTTACGTATTACATGGGCTCTTAATTCAATTTTGAATAAATCTTCATATATGAATTCTAGCAATGTATGAGCTGTTAAGTTCTATCGTTCATTAGTATTGTTTTCTCAATACCATATCTTTACATTTTCAGTATTCTGAAGAATAGATGGTCCTTTCTTTGCCAAAAAAAGGACTATACAGTGGCAAAAAAAACTTCACTTGTAGCAAATTAGGGAGAGAGGATTGGGCGGCTAGGGTGAGAGGAAAATTTTGAATTAGGGATGTTAGAGTTAGGGAATTATTGTATTAATAGTATGGCTTGTTTAGGGTTAGGCTTATGCATGATTATTGTGTTCTTTGGAGTTTTCTCTTGGCATCTTGGGCTCTAGAACTTCTTCTAGAGATTTGGAGAGAAAGATCATTCTCTCGAATTGAGGATCAATTGTATCTTGCTTTGTGTTTGTTTTGATTTGGATTTCCTTAATACAATTCACAAATTTTGGGTTGTTTTCATCACGTTCTTGTGTGTTTTCTCGCTGTTTTTATCAATGATTTGGATTTCCCTAATACAATTCACTGATTTTGGGTTATTTTCATCACGTTCTTGTGTGTTTTCTCGTTATTTTTATCAATTATTGCTAGGGTTGCTTGGTATTTACTCTTGGATTATTTGTGAACTCAAGTATTTCCTATCAAATTGGTATTAGAGCGTTGTCTTGGGACCATCGGCGGCTGAAATCCAGAAATTTCAGCAAGGAAATTTCATCCGCAAGAAGATCATCTCACAAATCTTGAGAAGAAAGATGGCCGGAAAGAAGGTCGAAGTTTTGGAAGGTGAAATTGGGCAACTAAAATTAGATTTGAAGGGAAATTTTTTTGATTTTCATAATCAAATTTCCTCCAACATTGAACGGTTGGAAGGAAAGTTCACTTTGATGGAAGTGATGTTGAAGAAATAATTAGAGTTGAAGACTAATCCGATGACATCAGAAGCAAGGGAGACCACCGGTGGCCATGAGAGAGGAGGGAATTCGAACCTGTTTAGGGGGAGGGAAAATCTAGAAGTGGAGATCCTTGAAGGAGAGGACGACATGCCACATCTAGAATCACTTTCTAGAGAGAAGATGAGTATGGGATACGAAAGGAGGGGTGCTAATTTTGTGGGAAGAAGGGGAGATTTCAACCATCGATGTGCTGATTTTGAAAGAAGAAGAAGGGAAGCTGACGAAGGGTACGATTATGATCGCCGGAGGGAGGATCGTGACAGCTGGGGAGCACCTCCTTTTCGGGGAATGAGAGGATATGGAGGATTCAGGGGAAATTGGGGTGACCCGAAGGTGAGGAAGCTAAAGATGCTCATCTTCGAGGGCGAGGATGGCCATGGTTTTATCTATAAGGTAGAACGATATTTCTCCGTCAATGGGTTGACGGAGGAAGACAACCTGACATTGACAGGACTATGTTTGGAGGAAAAGATATTGTCTTAGTACCAATGGCGGGACATGAGGCAACCCATCAGGAGCTGGAGGGAGTTCAATGAGTGCTTATATGTTTTGAAATCGGTAAGGAAGGAGACTTCTACGAGCAATTCTTTGTCTTAACACAGGAGGGGACCATGACAGATTATCGTGACAGGTTAGAGTACTTGGACAACAGATTGGATCAAATCTCAGAGACGGTGCTGGAGGAGAACTTTATGAAAGGGCTTAAACAGGAGATATTGATAGCAATTAGAGTGATATGGCCAAGAGACCTGGGGGAGGCCATGGAGCTACCCTAGTTGGTGGAGGATCAGAAGTAGTTGGAGAGAGTAGCTCAGGGGAGCAACTTGCGGGGATCGTACAGGATGACCACCATAGTCTTGGCTCCCAAGAGGGCAATGCCAAGGAGTCTGAAGGAAGTGTCCAGAGAGAGAACTAGAGGAGGGGGAAATTTCAAAAGGCTGATGAAGAAGGAAATACAAGAAAAAAGAGCGAAGGGATTGTGTATTAGATGCGATAAGAAGTACATGCCAGGGCATATGTGTAAGGACCGAACTCTTCAGGTTCTCATCGTTTGTGATGACGAGAAAGCTAAAGAGGGAGGTGGAAGCGGGTTATAGATGGAGAAAGAAGAGAAGTTGCATCTTGATGTGGTAGAAATCTCCCTAAACTCAGTAGTGAGATTCACCCCGAATCATACTATGAAGGTGAAGGGAGAGATAGTGGATAGGGAGGTGGTAGTGTTAATAGATGGTGGGGCGACCCACAATTTCATTTTCACACAAATTGTTGATCTATTGAGGGTAAAACTAGTGGATATAGGAGGTTACGGGGTGATGATGGGTGCTGGGAAGGAAGAAATGGGTAGAGAAGTTTGTAGGGGAGTGGTGATGACCATTCAGGGGATACAAGTGAGGGAGGATTTTTTTCTCTTGGAATTGAGTACGGATGTCATCTTGAGGATGAAATGACTAGAAACCTTGGAGGAGATCAAGATAAATTAGAGAGCACTGAGGATGGAACTGGTGGTGGGGGAAGGAGAATTGAGATCCAGAACGATGTCGGGCTGTCTAGGGCGGGAGTATCTCTCAAATCAATGATCAGAATCATACAAGAGGTGGGAGGTGGATATTTGGTGGAATTACAACGCTTGGAGAGGGTCAGTGTGGGGGAAGAGGGAGATATTCCTCTTGCAGTGCAACCAGTCATATAGTAGTTCAGTGAGGTGTTCCAACCATCTCAAGGGTCATCACCACTCAGAGAATAGAAGCACACAATTCTTCTAAAGGAGGGGGTGTCACCGATTAGTGTACGACTCTATCGCTACCCCCAAATTTAGAAAGATGAAATTGAGAAGCTGATTAGGGAGATGTTGGAGGTTGGAATCATCAGACCGAATATGAGTGCTTTTTATATCCAGTATTATCGGTCAAAAAGAAGGATGGGAGCTAGAGGTTTTGTGTGGATTACAGGACGTTGAATAAGAAGACTTTATCGGATAAATTCTCCATTCATGTGATTGAAGAGCTTTTGGATGAACTATATGGAGTAGTGATATTCTCTAAACTGGATTTGAAGTTAGAATACTATCAGATCCAAATGAGGTAGGAAGATATCTCAAAGATAATATTCAGGACACATGAGGGGTATTATGAGTTTATGTTTATGCCATTTGGGCTTACCAACCCCCCTACTACTTTCCAGTTACTAATGAACAGGGTGTTCAGACAGTATATCCAGAAGTTTGTTCTAGTATTTTTTGATGACATCTTGGTGTACAGCAGAATGGAGGAGGAGAATTTGAAGTACTTGAAGTTGGTATTGGGAGTTTTACAGGAACATTAGCTGAGTGCCAACATGAAGAAGTGCTATTTTTCCCAGGCCAGTGTAGAGTACTTGGATCATATCGTGCCAACGGAAGGGGTGGCGGTCGATCAGTCAAAGGTGGAGGTTATGTTGATATGGCCCTTACCTAAGAATCTGAAGGAGTTGAGAGGATTCTTAAGGTTGATGGGGTACTACAGGAGATTCGTAAAAGGCTACAGTACTATAACATGACCACTGACAAAGCAGCTAAAGAATGATGGATTCTTATGGGGAGAGGCAGCCACAACATTATTTGAGAAACTTAAGGTATAGACCATGGTACCGGTCTTAGCTTTACCAGTCTTCACTTAGGCCTTCATAGTCGAGACATATGCTTCAGGATACGGATTGCGGGCAATACTCATGCAGGATCGGCGACCCATTGCCTACTTCAGCCAGGTGTTGGTAGCCAGAGCCAAGATGAAATTACTCTATGTGAGGGAGTTGATGGTCATCATCTTAGCCATCCAGAAGTGGCAACCCTACCTGTTAGGTAGGCATTTCATTATTAGAACAGATCAGAGGAGCCTGAAATATTTATTGGAGCAGCGGATGGTGACTAAAGAGTATCAGAGATGACTGTCCAAATTGTTGGGGTATGATTTCGAAATCCAGTACAGACTAGGATGGGAGAACAAGGCGGCAGATGCTTTGTCCAGATATATAGGGGAGCTACAGATAGTGGCAGTGTGTGTTCCTTTGATGCTGGATTGGGAGGCCATTAGGGAGGAGAGTGCTAGGGATGAGGAGTTGGGGAAGATCAAGATAGATTTACTGAGATAAGGTGATAGCCACCCAAGGGGACAAACTACTGTATCAGGGGAGGTTCATGATGCCTCGGACCTCAATCCACATCCTAAACTTACTCCAGGAATTTCATGGAAGCACGATTGGGGGCCATTCAGGGGTACAGAAGACCTACAGAAGGTTAGCTTCAGATCTTTACTAGAAGGGAATACATAGAGACATAGAGGAGATGGTGGCCAGGTGTGAGATCTGTCAGAGGAACAAATACTTGGCTATGTCGCTAGGGGGACTACTACAGCCATTGACATTACTAGGATGAGTATGGGAGGAGATATCCATGGACTTCATAGATGGACTGCCATATTCATAAGGATTTACAGTGATTTTGGTTGTAGTAAAAAGATTAAGTAAGTATGCTCATTTCATTCCCCTCTGACATCCTTATACCACGGTGACAGTGGCTTCAACTTTCATCATAGAGGTGGTTAGATTGCATGGTGTACTATAAGCAATCATATCAGATAGAGATAAGGTGTTCCTCAGCCACTTTTGGAGGGAGTTGTTCAGGTTACATGAGAGAGTTCTGAAGAGAAGCACTGCTTATCACCCACAGATGGATGACTAAATAGAAGTGGTCAACAGGAGCTTGGAGACCTACTTACGATGCTTTGTGTCAGAGATACCCAAGCTATGAGATAAATGGCTATCATGGATGGAGTACTGGTACAACATCTCTTTTCATTATGCTTCTCAGATGACCCCATTCAAGATGTTGTATGGAAGGCATCCTCCTCACTTAGTGCACGTTGGGAGTAGCAGTACTCCAGTTTCTTTAATGGAGGAGTACTTAGGGGAGAGGGATAGAGAGTCAGAAGAGTTGAAGAAACTTCTATTGAGAGCTTAATAGATTATGAAGATACAAGGTGATGGGCATAGGAAGGATATCTAATTCGAAGTAGGAGAGAGGGTGTTCTTGAAACTTCGACCATACAGATAGAAGATAGTCGCCAATAAGAGAAATGAGAAGCTTGCTCCAAGATACTTTGGAC